GTAAGCAGTTCATTTCTGAAGTTCTATGACCACCTTATATATGTAACTGCATATGCAGTGAAGGTCACTAAACATCACTAGCACAGACTGCAAGTTCAGAGCATAGGCTCAACTGTCTTCAACGTCTCCCACAGACACATTGTTCAAATCAACCAACGTCACCTCAATGGTGAAGAGGTTTCTTATATCGTTCCACAATGCCTATAGCCACATTATTCCCATGAGTGTTTTGAAAGGGTGGCAATGCCACATATCAAAGTCATCCTACCAGCCACACTGAACTATAATGCCAACAAGCACCACAGCTGAGCTGCTTAATATTTATGTGGAAACCGTGACACTATTTTCACAATTCTTTGATGAATAGAAAGTTAGGGACCAATTCTCACTATAAATTAACTATGGATTTTGCCTCAATAAACTCCCAATTTGGTCATTTAAAATAAGGGCGTTTTAGGGTTTAAGGGTCATTTAAAAAGCTTTATAAGTACTAATAAACAGCCAATATGCTAGTGATATGCATGCTAATAAGCAACTAGTTAATAGTGAGAGTTGGTCCCTAAACTAATGTGTTACCAGACTTTTACATCATTACAAAGATTTCTGTCACTTTTGATGAATTTAATGTACTTTTGCTGAATAAAAAAAATTATAATAATATAATAAAATAAATTAAAAGAAAACTTTTGAACAATAGTGTATAAGCATTACATTTAAGTATTATATTTTAAGTGCACAAAATTAGGAAAAGCAAATTAATTTTGAACAGTCGTGCTTGTTGCCTGTAAGGATTTCACCTCATCTCATCACACATCAGAGCGGGTCATCAAGTGTAAACACAAACAATATAAGCCAATGTTTACATACATCAAATAGTTAATGCCAATTTCATATAACATGGATAATGCGCATACAATTTTTTTTTCCTCCATCTAAAGTTGTATGTCTTTTTAGTCTGTTTTCTCTTTTGAACATAATGTGGGTGCATCCCTAACTTTCAGGTACTAGAAGTAGGGTTATTTTAGTATCATGATACTACTATAGTTATATAGTATATATAGTATATAGTTATATGATACTGCTAATATATATATATATATATATATTGATCAAATAAATGCCCTTGGTGATCATAAGAAACTTCTTTAAAAAAAAACATTAAAAAAAAATCTTCCAGATCAGCAGTGTGTATATATATATATATATATATATATATATATTTAATTTGAATTTATTTCTATATTTTCTGTATTTTCTATATTTTTTAAATTTTAGTTAAAGTTTTAATAATTTTGTTGTGGGTTTATTTTATTATTTTGTGTTGTTTTTAAATATGTCTGTATTATTTTTATTCATTTTTATTTCAGTTTAGTTTTAGTTGTTTTAGAAAATCAAGCGTTTTATGATTTTTATTTATTTATTATTATTTTTAGTTAACTATAGTAAACCTGACAGGAATTGCTCATCCTAAGACAGAGACTCTCGTGAAAATGACCCAGACCATCATAGGAGCCTTCTTCCTGCTCTTAGTCTTAACACTAAAAGGGCACATACACTGAAAAGTGTAAAATGACGGCCATCAAGGTGGTTCACTTTCACCTGCCCCAGAGTATGTTCACAGCACTGTCAGGAAGTGTGAGTATTCAGGCCTAATCAAACACTACTGCACAGCCTCTTTGATGCACTGCAGCCACTTTAAGGGTCTCTGACACTTCAGACCAGGATTGCTCAACTAATGCACTTTCTGTGCTGGTATATTTCGTGTTTTTCGATCAATGCACTCCCATATATATAGGTGCATCTCAATAAATTAGAATGTCGTGGAAAAGTTCATTTATTTCAGTAATTCAACTCAAATTGTGAAACTCCTGCATTAAATAAATTCAATGCACACAGACTGAAGTAGTTTAAGTCTGCTCATGAGATTACATACCCCTTGCAGAATGTTAATATTTTAACTAAATAAGAGGGATCATGAAAATTGAATGTTATTTTTATTTAGTACTCTCCTGAATAAGCCATTTCACATAACAGATGTTATATATACTCCATGTGACGAGTGGGGCGGGGCCGAGAGCCGTGGGAAACGGCAAACATTTAAACATAATTTAATAACAAAATAAACACAAAATTGAAAATAGCGCGACAGCCCCTCACGGAACGACTGCCGCCCACAAACAGAACCAAAACAACATAAAATCCAGGCCTGGTCCTCTTTCGTCCTTCACTGTCGTTACTCCTCCTTTTATCCTTACGGAGTTCCTCCATGAGACTCGAGACCGGTGAGTGGCGCAGGTGTCGCTCATTATAATTAACTCCACCGGCCTCGCTCCATTCCCACAGCTCTCGGCCCTGCCCCACTCGTCACACTCCACAAGACAAAATAACTGAATTCATAAAAAAATTACACAATGCATTAAGAGCCAGAGGGTGTAAACTTTTGAACAGGATGATGATGTGAACATTTTTCTTATTTTGCTTAAAGATCATATTTTTTTTTCATTTGGTACGGCACTTAAAAAGCTACATAAATACTTAAATGTTTCCCAGAAGACAAAATAAGTACAATTTACCCTTATCATCCAATTCAAAGTTTACACCCCCCACCCCCCCCAGCTCTTAATGCATTATGTTGCTTTTTTGAGCATCAGTAAATGTTTTCACCTTATATAATACTTATGTATGAGTCCCCCAATTGTCCTCCATGTGAAAAGATGGATCTCAAAATCATACAGTCACTGTTGGAAAAGGTTCAAATATGCAGAAAATGTTGGAAAACCAAAGAATGTGCAGGAGCTGGAGGATTTTTCTGAAGAACAGCAGGCAGTTGAACTGCTCAGGACCAACAAGGGACTCATGAACAACTATCACAA